TGACCACAGTAGACTAGCAGTGCAACAGTAGGGTGAGGGCAGTGCATTGAAAGAGGCACTGTGCTCACCGGACGGGGCTGCTCGGGCGGCTCGGAGGTTGGACGGCTCGGCGGCTCGGCGGCTCGGCTGCACGTCGGCTCGGCTGCACGGCGGCTCGGCTGCACGGCGGCTCGGTTGCTGGGCGGCTCGGCTGCAGGGCGGCTCGGCTGCTCGGTTGCTGGGCGGCTCGGCTGCTCGGCTGCTGGGCGGCCTCGGCTGCTCGGCTGCTCAACTGCTGGGTGGCTCGGGCGTGCTGCTGCAGGGCGGCTCGGCGGTCGGCTGCTCGGCGAGGTGAGGCGGCCCGGGCGGCTCAGGTGGCGGGCGGCGCTGCAGTAGGTGACGGGGCCGCAGGGAAGGCGGGTGGGCCGCAGGTAAGGGCGGCGGAGGCCGCAGGTAAGGGCGGGGAGGCCGAAGTTGAGGGCGGCGGGGACCGCAGGTGAAGGGCGGTGGGGCCACCAGGTAAGGGCGGCGGGGACCGCAGGTAAGGGCGGTGGGGCCGCAGGTAAGGGCGGCGAGGCCGCAAGGGCGGCGCGCGGGGTCGACGGGTGGCGTAAGGCGCCACTAGGGCGGCGCGCGGGGTCGACGGGCGGCGCAGGGGGGGGGGGGGGGGGGGGGGGGGGGGCGCTAGGGCGGCGCGCGGGGTCGACGGGCGGCGCAGGGGGCCGCTAGGGCGGCGCGCGGGGGTCGACGGGCGGCGCAGGGGGCCGCTAGGGCGGCGCGCGGGGTCGACGCGCGGCGCAGGGGGGGGCCGCTAGGGCGGTGCGCGGGGTCGACGGCTCGGCGCAAGGAGCCGCTAAGGCGGCGCGCGGGGTCGACGGGTGGCGCAAGGAGGGGCCGCTAGGGCAGCGCGTGGGGTCGATGGGCACACGGGGCGCGCGCGACTCGGTCTAGTCTGAGGCGCGCTCCGGGCAGGAAAAAAAATAAGTTTGTGGTGGGCCCTAGGTAGCGTTCCCACTAGGGAACCTGCTCTGAAACCATGAGAAGAAACGAGAATGAATGAACTATGAATGAACTGGGTACAAGTACTAACCCTAATTGAGTTGTACCCCCTATGGGATACCCCACTATAGCCTACACAAAAGCAGAAGCTATAATATTCTGACAGGACCTGCCCTGCAAACAAGTGGTCCTCGGGAAACAAAACCATTGGGGAAACTGTGGTTGAAGGTGGCTCGATAAGGTCGATGTAAAGAGGGAAGAGAGTGGAGTTCAAACCCTAACGAATGCGTATCTCTGTCGAGTCGTTAGTGATGGTGGGTTGGGGGAGTTTTTTTGCTTCCTGCTGGCAGGAAGAGGGGTCAGAAGGGGGCGGGATATGTTTTTTTCTGGGCAAGCAATGATTGCCCCGAACCACTGATCCCCCGCACCATGCGGGACCTCGAGGCCGCATGGTGCGGGGTGTCCGAAAATGGGCTCTTTGCTAGGGAAAATGGGGTCGTTGAAGAAACGGTGGGTTGGAAATGACATCGGATAATGGGGTGTTAGGTTGGCATTTGTTACGAGTGCAATTGAGTGAATGAACGAGAATTGCACTATCGAAGCAAGAGTACAATGAGCGAAGGCATGAGCGAAGAATATATAGCGAAACTACAGTGGTAACGGTAATGGACTGTGGTTGTCGCGCGACGGGCCTGGGACTGAGGTTTGGGAAAGTGTCGAAATGGAGGCCCGGAGCGCGGGTTACCAACCGAGCCGTGAGATTGGGATGCGGTGTGCGAAAATGGCGGGCTGATTGTCGAGGCGAGGATCGCGAGTGGTAACGGTGCTGACTGTTGTGCTACAGTGCTACAGTGATGTACGCGTTGAGCAGGGATGCGAAGTAAGGAAAAGCGGTTTTCCTTACAACATTCCATTATTGTCAGGTTCGGCATAATCCGCTTATAAAGAACCTTGATAATATTTCACACGCTTACCAGGGAAGGTTCCAGGGTGGTCGGTTCACTGTAGCCCATCCCCCTCCTTTGGTTTTTTTATGCCTGCCAAACTGGGCCCAGGTTCGGGAATATTTATGACATGTCATATTTCTCCTCACAAAACCCCAAAAACGACTCACGCTCACCTCAAATCATCCCTCCACCTTGTACAAACTGATGCCTGATTGAGCCCCTCCCGGTTGCCTTGTGAAGGGGGCGTATAAGCTGTATCATGCGTTTCGCATAAGTTCGTCAAATTCGCAGCTAGCAAAAAAGAATTCGCATGTGCTTATAAACAAGACCCTGCTACCTAGTTACCTAGTTTGACTTCAGTCTCTTCTACTTGACTTCGGTCTCTTCTGCTTGACGCGCTTGTAATGTGGGTGCATGAAGCTGGGGAAACAACCTCGGGTGCAGCGTGTCCATCCGGCGCAAGGCAAATTCGCGCGCATGGGGTGAGCATCAGCTGTATTCCGTTTCAGAGCACTTCTCATCTCACAAGTCCGCAAGAACAGGACAGAGTGCTTGACTTCTGATTCTTGTACAGACGATTTTGGGGGAGTCCTACCTGCACGTCTCACGCACGATTCGTCAGTCGTCACTCGCGCGGCGCCATTTACAATTCGGCAGCCTGGTCAGGACTGCACTGAGATGTTAACGGCCGGGTGGGACTGTACCACAGTTGTAGCTCACCATAGGAAAGTTGTGTACGCGACACTTACGCACAACCGACAGCACGGCCCTCCGCAAGTTACAGTAATACAACCACTTGTCCGTCAATGACTGACATGACATTCCATTCGACTTTCCGTCAGACGGACTCCGGAAGAGGAGTCAAGCCAAACCCTCTCTCAAGCTCGCAGCAACCATCCAACCCACGCCTGTCTACTTCAGTGAAGCCCTTCGCGGCGGTAGTACATTGTCGACAATACTACCATGTGCTGTCAGTAAAAGTTGTGTGTCTTTTAAAGGAGAAGGGACGCCACACCCGGATTCAAACACTATAGCATCATGTCGCTGTCGTACCAAACCCGGCGCGGCTCGTCACGAAGACCTAATCTCTCCCTGAACCTTTCGACCGTCCCAAGATTTGACGCTGCGTCGGCCGGGCCGCCGGCCCCTTGGCGGGACGTACGAGACCCCGATTCGTCCCCGCGGAGTGCGCGGCTCACGGCAGATCGGCGGCGTCGCGACGAAGCATTGAACATGCCGGCCGGCGGCGCGGCCTCACTTCACCCTACTACCGGCACCACCGCCAATGGTAGCGCCGCAATCTGTGACGCGCTCAGCTCGAGTCGTCGGCAAACGGAGTTTTGCCGCGTTCGTTCGCCGGATCGGCGGGCAGTCCAGGGCCCTCCGGGGAAGAAACAACGAACTTAGGGCCTGACACGACCTTACCTATAACACCTCGCTACCCACTGGGTCAAAACGAGGGTGTTATTTGGCGCAGCGGAATGCCCATTAACACTTAGCCCACAGGCGTTACACTCGTCCCCCCCTGGTGTCAACGTCCCCGTTGACGAACTTCAGGGAGTCGGCCCCCGCAGGGACCTGTTCGCTGTGCTCCAAGCAGCGACTTCGCTGGTGGACCAGGCCAGCGGAGGATCGTTCACTGGGTTCAGTCAGGTTTCCACATTCAAGTTCTCGCCACAGGCGGAAAATGTGGATCAGCCAGGATTTGAACCCTAGGCTCTGATACCAGTATAACACCTCGCTACCCACTGGGTCAAAACGAGGGTGTTATTTGGCGCAGCGGAATGCCCATTAATACTTAGCCCACAGGCGTTACATTACCCGCACTAACTTCAAGTTTCTCTCGTTCCTGGTCGTCTTCCGCTCTGGAAGAATCTGCTCGAGGCCTCTCCCCTCGCTCTCCCTACTCTCTCTCCTCCGCGCAAAGCTTGGGTAGATCGTCGTCATCGTCCTCGTTATTGTCACCTCCGATACCGTCACCCTTCAATGGAGGCAAACAACGCAAACCCCAATCGACGCAATCGTCTACAATACGCGGCAGCATGAGTGCTTCCTGACTGCCTGCCTGGTACGTTCCTCACTCTCTCCGCTCTCCTACACCTCATACACCTCTTGTCCTGGTAGTACCCTATATATTGCACGCGTTTCTCTACCAGATATTTTTAACTTTGCAGCAAAAATAATCCTCTGCTGGTTCTTTCCCTGTTGCGCACGACAATCTACTTGTGATCTGCCGCACGAGTGGTCCTATTTGCCTTACCCCATCTTCTTGCTTCCATTTTTCCTCCTTGCTTCCATTTTTCCTCCTTGCTTCCATTTTTCCTCCTTGCTTCCATTTTCCCTCCTTGCTTCCATTTTTCCTCCTTGCTTCCAACCCCTTCCCTTCTCGTACTGTCCCACTCCCTCCTGCGTTTCTCAGCTCTTCACTCCCTCTCCAACTCACCGTTTCTCCATCTGCTTTTCACCCCGTTTTGCACCGAATCCAGCATTGTGCGAGTGAGAACAGCACCTGCTGCGGTCGGCGCGACCGCTGCGCACAGCAGCATTCAAGGCAGCATTCAAGGCAGCACCCAAGGCAGCACCATTCAAGGCAGCACCCAAGGCAGCACCATTCAAGGCAGTACCCAAGGCAGCACCCAAGGCAGCACCCACGGCAGCACCCACGGCAGCACCAGCACCATGCAGAAGAGCCAAGCAGCAAGTCACGCCCCGGCTGCTACCAGTGATACCGGCGCTGCCGTTCCCAGCCCAAGCACCCGGCCTTCCCTTCGCCCTCCGCTCTCCCCTCAACCTCCGCCCTCCGCTCATCCTCTGCCCTCCCCTCACTCTCCGCTCTCCCCTCCCACTTCGCACTCTCCTCACCCTCCGCCCTCTCCCCGCCCCCCGCTCTCCCTTCGCCCGCCGCTCTCACGTGCTTCCGCAATTGCACCAAGTGTGGACCAGCGCACCGCTAAACTCCTTGCAACAAGCAGCGACTCTGCAGCAAGCTTTGCGGCACCTCAGAAAGCATTTGCACCAGGACTCGATCACCGTGCCTCTAAGACCCTCGCAGCCACCGGCGAAGCTGCAGCACCC